CAAACCAATTCCCGTTAGGAAGCAAAACCATCAGGTTTTATTCCTAACGCTTCTAATCGTCTTCAGCATGGTTTTCATGAGTTTCAGCAGTAGCCTGTTTGTGTTTTTTTTTTGTGCATAAACCAGACATTATGTTTTATCGTCATGGTTTGCTGTTTTCCTCATAAAACTGACAAAAACACTGTCATGGCAGAGCAGCACTGACATCATCAATAGGCTGGCGGTGCATGTCAGGCTGAGAGTACATGTCTGCAGCCAGATCCTTAGATTGGCTAATGCAAAAAATGATGGACAGCTCGTTCTAATCTGCAGTTGGCCAATGCAAAATGTGATTGACGACCAACAGTAGTTATTTCATTGGTTGATTAAAAAAAATTTTCAACGTTGAGCCAGGGGTGGAGTTACTCTTTAATGAATTGAGTAAAGGGGTAAAAAATTATGGAAAAAAAAAATATAAAAAACAGATGGACTACAATCTTTAATACATTGTCCGCACTCACATGGCTCCAATGACATGCAAATTCCAGATGGAGGACAGGAAGTGAAAAGCAGAATGAACGAGATGTAGGCAAGCCCTTACTGTGCTAGTTTAGATGATATTATGAGAGAAAGGTATAAAGAGAAAATTATAATATATGTTGGTATGTGATCCGGTAACACTTTCTATGAATGTCACGTTTGTAAGCATCCATAAACACATTTATAACACGTTATAATGCCTTCATATGGCATTATAAACATGATTATAAACATTTTTAAAAATGAATTACACTGGATTACACTTTATAGCCATGTTTATTTTACATTATGAATTGTTAATATAATACATTATAAGTAGTGTTGATAACATGTTATACTGTCAGTACCAAAGAAGTCAGTCCCAGCTTGGAGACTGCAAAGTAAAGACAAATACCAAGCTAACGGTGGTGTACATTGACTTTCCCACATTGGGTAAAACATTGATGGCAGCACTAGTTTAAACTCTGACATTTGAAGCCTGTAATGTGCTTTATTGTGTATGTTTTAGTGTTTCAGTAAATCCTTCAGTAAATGCTTCAACTTGAAGCTTCACTCTTAACACTGGAGGAGGCTTTAGTACAGTGCGCTTCACTTTACTTAAAGCAGACAAATACAACTTATGAGCTCTTATAATTTGTTATGATCAGTACTTATAATGTATTATGTTAACAATTCATAATGCATAATAAGCATGGCTATAACATATAATGCATTTTTATAAATATTTATAGCCATGTTTATAATGCCTTATGAACGCATTATAACATGTTATGAATGTGTTTATAGATGCTTACAAAGGTGACATTCATAGAAAGTGTTACCTGTGATCCTTCTGTTATGAGGAGGAGTGTTCTTTTTTTTGACTGAATTTAAAGACTTGCCTGCAATCGAGCTAGCAGATATAATCAACTTATGTGTTCACTTGTCTTTTGTGTAGTTGTTAACCCTGATTTAAGTGTAAGTAGTGTTGCTTGTACCTTTTAAATCTATCACCCATGCACACTCACAGATTGCACTTTTAAAGTAGCTAAAAAGTATTGCACTACTTTTCAAAAAGTAACTAAAAAGCCACTACTTTTTCTGGAAAAGTAGCTAAATTGTAGCTAGCTACAACTTTTGGAAAAGTTAATTTTTCAGTAGCTATCCCAATCCTGGCTGCATCTAAAATGAAGAAAAAAAGTAAGCAAAATAAATAAAACCTTCACCAGATAAATGAGATTTTGTGAATGTTTCTTTAAAAAAAACAGTAGGCAATAATAAATCTGCTAAACAACAAGAAAAAGGGGATATGTATGTTATTGTTACCAAGTATAATTATTTAGCAAACAATAAATGAATATTTAAATCACTAATAATATCTTTTTAGTGCATTATGATTTCAGATTCTACTGTACTTTAACTGAAGTAAAAAATATAAATAGAATATCTCTTACTAACATTTTGTAAGAAGGCCCCAGTAGCATAAAATGTGGGTTAATAGTAGGCATAGTAGTAGAGGAAACCCAGAAATTCTCACAATGTGGACGCTCAAACTCCAGTTTACACAACAGATACAGAATTTCCAAGAACTGAACACTGACTTAACGTTAACTGTTTCAGATATACAAATTCAAGCATGCAAAACTATTGGGCAGAAAGTAACCAAGTTATTGTTCAGTTCAGTTAGGATAACTAACAAAGGAGATTTTTTCAAAATTCCTGAATAATTCAGTCTATTAAATGTAAACATGTGGCTGCAGAGTCATTCAGAGTGGTTTAATATGAAATGGGTAATTGTAGAGAAATGTACTGACTCTTTTCTTTTGTAGGATTTCTTTACAGTGGTGGTGATAGTAACTAGGGGAGCCATGTCTGCCAAATAAATATAGCCATTTTATTTGCTATCCAAAACCACCAGTGAACCTACACATGGTTTTTTGATGATTTAGTCTCAATACTCACCCCTGTAGTATGTTTGTACCCATCTTGCTGCAAGCAATGATCAGCGTGTATGTGTGCTATAGATGTGGCAAGGTGGGTTTCAGGAATTATCTGGGCAGCAACCCTGAAGTGTGAAGCGTAAGCCGGACATGTATTAGTCAGACCTAGCATTAGATCCACCCTCCCCAGATCTAGCAAGACAGATGAGACCCCCCCCCCCCTACTCCTAGATAAACGTAGAATTAGAGATTGACAGCAGTTATCAAAAAAGGAATATGTATTACAAAAAAAAATATGAATTATAAGTGTTGTTGTCTTAGTTTCAGTTCACCTTTTCTTTTTGAATAAAATAAATAAATAAATAAATAAATAAAATTGTGCAATCAATACCAAAATACAAGATAACAAGCAATAACCATATAAACAACAAACTTGTGGATTCAGGCTGTTATACAATAGCAACCTTTGCCTCTTTTCAGGATAAGAAGAAATTGAAACATCGAATAAAACCATCAAAATTTACCGTAAAGAGCTTTCACCTCAAAAAACAAACAAAAAAACATTTCTTCACCCTTTAACCATATGAATTAAGACAAAGGAATAAGCAGTTACTCTTCTTAACAGCTAAATGATCAATAAACTAAAATATTAACCCTTTTTGTTCTACGGAACTTACTCAGTCTCTGATAATAAGTAGAAAATGGAACCCAATTACCAGTCTGAAACGGAGGGATTGATGCTGGAAGATGTTTTTGAATGGCAGGGAGATCTCCTCCTAAACAGAGCTGAAGAGAGTGAGGCGCATCACATGTCCACATTACGCTCACAGAAAATGGTGCCCGCTGCAACTTGCTTCTCTTTCAGTCCCAAGTAGCCACCCCCGGAATGTTCTCGAAGCACTTAGTCCTCCTCTATTCTCCAGAAGCAAACACACTGAACAGTCCGTTAGAGCTTAAAAATGCTCAAGAAAAAAAAAAAAAACTTCAAAAATACGCTGGGCTCGGTTTTTAAACTCAGAGCAAAACTGTTTGCAATGGAACAGTGATATTCTTCAACCTGTATTAGCATTTACAGGCTAATGGTGAATCACACCCGCACTGCTTACAGTCTTAATGCTTTAAGCTGGATTCTCTGAGTATACAGTCTCTCCATCAAAAAAGTCAAGGGAAAATGCTTTCTCTGCCTCTTACAGCGCAATAAGATGTACTTCACTTTAAATTTACTGAGCTGGCTGAACATGAGGCTGAACTCACACTCAGCTCTTCTCAGTCCACAGTAATCTCCATAGCAAAATGGGGGTTTTCAAAAAAATATTTTCCTCAGCTCCAGAGCAAACGCCATTACTCACTGCAACTGGAAATAAGTCCACAAACTAGAACAACACTACCAGTGATTGAACACTGCTTGATAACTTTGGATTTGTAATGCGATGATATATAACAAGGTTTTGTGAGAACTGATGTCATTATCATATCACTCATATTCCTGTCTTCACTTCCACTAGCTCCTGCACCATGTTATGTTAATTTGTGATTTCATTGATGGACTTCCTTTGTGTTTGGATCTGGTTGGTGTGTAGTTTCACTGACCTGTCGGCTGCTGCCCCGACAGTTTATTGGGCCCCACCAGGCTTTCTGTGCCAGAGATGCCACTGGATATGCATACAGACAGTACTAGACTAGCACTTTGACTTTAATATCAACACACAGGCCTACCGATGGCACAACAGCTAGCTTCTCTCACTCAAACAGTGAATGGTTGTTGATTGACAACCTTTAACATTAGCTTGCTAGATAAAATAATGTCAGATAGCCAACAATAACAATATAAAGAGTGATATGTGTCTCAGTGCAGCAAAAATGAGGACTGCTGCTAATGATTGTAGTGTGTTGGTGCTGAACGGTAAGAAATGTGTGTGTGTGTGTGTGTGCGCGCTCTCAGCACAGCTACTGCACGGCTTCAGGGAGAGTGGGATGGGGGAAGAGTAGGAGAGAGCAAGTGGATCATTTGCTTATCAGAGACAAACTTCCGTTTAAAAAAACACCTATGGTGAAAATGTTGTATTTTGTGTATGCTGTTCAGAGTCTCAATGTAATTCAAATACTCACAGGTCACAGAAAGCCCAGACTTACTGATGGTCCTCATCTGTGCTCTGGGAGAGTGGAGATTCTTCATGGAGAGACCTGGTACACAGTGTGTGATGCTGACTTTCAGCAGGATGCAGAGGTTGTGTGTCGAGAGCTGGGCTGTGGGCTTCCTGTGGAGGTGCTGGGAGCAGCAGAAAAGCTTCAGTGTAGAGGCAACGAATCTGACATCACTCTCTGTTCGACATCTTCACTCAACAGGAAATACAGAAAATGCCAACATGACAACGATGTGGGACTTATTTGTTCTGGTCAGTATAAATAAATTGACCTCTTATTAAAATAAAATATTAGAATGTGTTTGACAGGTATTGCAGTATCAGTGGATTACAGATAAAATGAGGAGTGATTTGTGTTTTGCTATTCTATTAACTGTAATCACACTGTTTCACTAATATTGTAGCTGTTGATGCACAGGGGCTCGACTGGTGAACGGCTGTGACTCCTGTTCTGGTCGAGTGGAGCTCCAGTACCTCAGTGATTGGGGCACAGTGTGTGATGTAAGATGGGATATGAGAGCTGCCAGTGTCCTTTGTGGTCAGCTGAAGTGTGGGAGTGCTGTGGCTGTGTTGGGTTCAGACTGGTTTGGGGAGGGGAGTGGCCAGATCTGGGCTGATGTGTTTGATTGTCAGGGGAACGAAACACACCTGTCAAAATGTCCCATTTCATCATGGAGTCGAACTGCATGCTCTCATGAACAGGATGCTGGAGTCATCTGCAATGGTGAGCTCTCAAAATTTGTTTATTCCATCTTAGAGTAATTTACATTGACTGTGTAATAATAATAATAATAATAATAATAATAATAACAACAACACCAGTCTTTATTTATATAGTGCTTTTCATGTTGGTGGCAGCTCAAAGTGCTTTAAAGACAGGTAATAAAGCTTAACAGCAATATAAGAAACTATGAGTACTATTTTAAAATCATGTAAGACAATGACCAAGATCAAATTAAAAAAGACAAATACCACAAGAAGTTTTAATTAAATGCTAAGTTAAAGTGATACATTTTCAAATGTTTCCTTAAAAGTAAGAATTTGACTCTAATAAAATTGGAATTGAGTTTCACGGTTTACAAGCTAATAACTGAAAGTCTCCATGTTTTCTGTATTTTATGAAAGGTTTTTGCTGAAGGTCAGCATCTGCAGATCTAAGATCACGTGCAGTACACTAAACAGACAGACACTCTGTGATGTAAGCAGGTGCTTTAAGGTCATTCAGAGCCTTAAAAACTAGTAACAGAATTTTGCTATGTGAAGCTAAAGACCTGAGCTTCTCATAATACAGCCTTCTCTGAGTTTTAGTACCAAGAATCAGTATTTCAGTTTTTTAATGATTTATTTGTAGAAAATGTTGTGATATCCACTGAGAAATATCTGAAACACAGCTGGTTAATCTATCTGCAGATAGGTCTTGATTATCAAAAGAAATGGAAATGTACGATCCCATTTCCAAAAAATGTTGGGACGCTGTGTAAAATGTAAATAAAAGCTAAATCCAGTGATGTGCAAATCATTTAAACAATATATTTAATTGAAAAGACAACAAATAAAATGTTTAAACTGAGAAATTTTATTGTTTTTTGTAAAATATATGCCCATTTTGAATTTTATGCCAACAACACATTCCAAAAAAGTTGGGACAGGGGCATGTTTACCACTGTGTTTCATCACCTCTCCTTTTAACAACACTGTAAGCATTTGGGAACTGAGGAGACTGACTGCTGTAGTTTTGAAAGTGAAATGCTTTCCCGTTCTTGTTTGATATCTTGTTTGATAACTGCTCAACAGTTTGGGGTCTCCTTTGTCATGTTTTTCATTTCATAAAGTGCCAGATGTTTCAGTGTGTGACAAATGTCGCAACCAAGAGCTATCGCTTTTTGTCCAGGGTCTGGACATTTATAATTGTAACTCTATAGTAGTTATAATATAACTAATATTATCTATACTATTGCCATAATAACTATCTGTATTATAATATCTTCAAAAAGAATTAAAAGAATCAAAGAATATTAACAAATTTGAAAAAGGATAAAAAGGAATGAAAAAGACTTCAGCCACAGTTCTTGTGGAATGAAGGAAAAGGCCTTCGCTTTATTGAGCATCAAATCACAACCACAATGCAAAGAACATCTCAAAACATCCCTTTTTTATTACCACTCCATTTACACAATTCCGTACCATTTAAGTCCCCATTATGTCCTTAAACCTTTTTTGGTAACGTTCAAGATGAAAAACATATGATGGCTTTTTTAAAACCCACTCTGTTCTGACTCTTACCAGATTGTTGTCTCCTTACAGGGCCCTCTTGCGCAACTCTCCATATACATACACGAGTGTACCTCAGCTATAACTTAAACTGTCATCTGACTCCCTTCTGTGGGCCCAGAAACTCTTTCCCCATTTCCCTATATTACCTTACTAGGATTTCTAGTCAGCCAACTTTCTAGTCAGCCAATGTTTAGTTTATTGATAACTAATCAGGAATATTTTATTCATTCTTTCCCATCACAGATCTGGACTGCAGGCAGGCCAGTTTAGTACCTGGACTCTTTTAATACAGAGCAATGCTGTTGTAATACATGCAGAATGTCAAAAATAATGTCAAATGTTAATTTGTCAGACCACAGTACACTTTTCCACTTCTCCTCAGTCCATTTTAAATGAGCTTGGGCCCAGAGAAGGTGGCAACATTTCTGGATCCTGGAAGTGTTTCTGAGCCCATGCAGTGATTTCCTCTACAGAATCATGTCTGTTGTTAATGCAGTGCTGCCAGAGAGGCCAAAGATCATGGCCAGGAAAAACTGTTTTTTGGCCCTGTCTCTTACATACAGAGATTTCTCCTGATTTCTCCTGATCCTAAAAAAATTGTATGTACCATAGATGATGAAAATCTCTTTGCTATTTTACGTTAAGAAACCTTATTCTTGAATTGTTGCACTATTTACTTCTGTAGTCTTTTACAGAGTGATGAACCTCTCCTCATCTTTACTCCTGAAAGACTCAGCCTCTCTGGGGTGTTCTTTGTATATCATGTTACTGACCTTTTGTCAATCAACCACCATTACACAACTTTACCAGCCTTTAGTTGCCTCCATCCCAACATTTTTGGAACATGTTGTTGGTATCAAATTCAAAATGGGCATTTTTTTTTTTTCAAAAAACAATTTCAACAATATTTTGTCTTTGTACTATTTTCAATTAAATATAGGGTTTAAATGATTTGCCCATCATTGCATTTTGTTTTTATTTACATTTTGTGCAGCGCCCCAACTTTTTTGGAAATGGGGTTGTGTAATTGTGTGTCATTAGCATAGCTATGAAAAATTATATTATTTTTCTTAGTGACATCACCTTGAGATAGCATATACAAAAAGAAAAGCAAAGGCCCTAAAACTGAACCTGTGGGACTCCACAAGAAATGTTATATTTTTTGATGAATAATTTCCCAGCAAAACAATGAACTGTGAGACAGTGGATTAGAATCTTGTGGATTAGAATCTTGTGATCATCAGTATCAAAAGCTTCACTAAGATCCAACAAGACCAGAATAGAAGGATTCTGTGCATCAGCACTGAGCCTGAGGTCATTCACAATGGGAACCAATGCCATTTCAGTACTATGGTTAGAACAAAAATCTGGTTGAACCTTTTCATGTAATTTGTTTGATATTAGATACACATTAAATTGTTTGAAAACTTTTTTCTAAGACTTTGCTTAAAAAAGGAGGTTTGAAACTAGGTCTAAAATTATTTAGTATGGAAGGAACCATGCAGTTTTAAAAGCATCTGGAAAAACACCTGTTGAAACAGAACAATTCAATCTATTTACAACAGTTGTAAGCTCCTGATAATTGATAGCAGAGAAAAATGTTATTACTGATGTAGGGGGCTTATCAGGAACATTACAGGAGCATGTTTCAGCTGGCTGAGCTGTGCTCTGTCTTATCAAATTTTATTTTGAAAATGAATTGCAAACTATTGGCAATTTTAGAAGATAAATCACTTTGAGATGCACTAGCAGAAAAGCTGGGGTTACTTAGTCGATCTATGGTGGAAAATTTTTTTGTTGATTTTGGTATTATCTTTATGTTTATTAATTACACTAGAGAGGTTTGACTGACTAGATATTTTCATAGCATTATTATAAGTGGAGATTGCTCTTTAACAATATCATAATACCTGCAGTTTAGTTTTCCTCCATCATCACTCTGATTTATGACAATATCTCTTAAGCTGCCATATTTCCGCATTCATCCATGGATTTTAATGAGTATGCAAGTTTGCCTTGCATTTGACTGGAATGAGAATGTCAAGAGTTTCTCTTAATCTAGCAATTAGATCAGAGACTAGATCATTACAGGAATTAGTCAGGGCTGTATTCGATGAACTATTATGTTTTTAAACTTCTCAGCTGTTTCAATGTAACACTTTTTAAAACAATTTTCAGAAAAATTCTTCCTCACTTCCAAATTGATTTGAAAGAAAATACAGAAACAATCTGATATGAAAACATCAGAGATGAGGGACACGTTTTTGTTTAAACCTTCCAGAATGTGACCTGTGTGATGTGATGTAGCTTGTGGGTAGAGCCACCCATGTGCCGCTTCAAATCAAATGTCTCTAGAAGTCTAATAAATTCTAATGCATTAATGTTTGATGGATGGTAAGTTAAAGTCTCCAAAAAGAAGAACTTCTTAACTTGAGGATACAACTGAAATTAATTCTGCAATTTCTGCCAAAAAAATACTAATTTGCTTTGGAGGTTGACTGCAACATACTCAAAAGACATAAACTCACTAATAGTGGTATTTTTGCAGTTTGAGTCACTATTATCAGTGCAAGCCACTCCTCCTTGCCTGCCCTGTATTACTGTATTCACAAATATGTAGTTTTCTGGAAACGAGTTGCTGTGCCAGTATCAGCCACATTTCTGCCAGAAACATAAAGTCAAGCTTATGCTCTTTAATAAGACCTCAAATCAGAAGTGTTTTGTTATTTAGTGACCTTACATTGAGTAAAGAAAGGTTTAGTTTTCTGCTCACTACACTATGTGTTTGGGGGTGTTCATCTTTTAGTGTTTTAGTAAAATTATCATTTTCCTCTTCAGGTTCCTCTCTGGCGTTTCATGAGGGGCGAGTGCGGTTGTCTGGAGAGATGGAGTGTGAGGGGGAGGTGGAGGTGTACTTCAGGCAGGACTGGAGGAGAGTTCTGCTGGACTCCTGGAGTGAGTCTGAGGCCTCTGTGGTCTGCAGACAGCTGGGCTGTGGCTCTGTGTTCAGCTTCTCCAGCTCCTCTACATCCAGTCCTGAACACAGACACATGTGTGTGACGGGTTTCAGTTGTTCTGGGAGTGAAGCTCATCTGGGGAACTGCAGCAGCGCACAAGCAGTCAACTGCAGCTCCAGAGAACAGCTCTCAATCACCTGCTCTGGTAACTATTAAAATAATAAAATTTGTTATTTGATCTACTTCAGTTGTGGGCAGTAACAAAGTAAATGTAATTCGTTACTGTACTTAAGTAGTTTTTTCGTTTATCTGTACTTTACTGAGGTGTTTCCATTTTTGGTGACTTTTTACTTTCACTCCACTACATTTCAAAGTCAAATATCTTACTTTTTACTCCACTACTTTTTCACTCCAAATCTGTCGTTCCTTTTGTTTTATGTGTGTATAAAAACGTAACATGTCAAAACGAAAGAAGCGCAAAGCAAGAACACCAATCAGGGCACAGCGCACACTTTGTTTCAAGCTTGTTTTGACCTGTTGGTCATAACGACTCAGTGCAAGCATATGGTTCAACATCAGTGCAGCAGCATAAAATTTTGGGAGAATCTATTCAACATAAATGATGGAACTAAGCTAACTTTGTGTAAACAGACCACAATATAGAAATATGTACACATACGCAGTTGTGACTGGCGTGTCTTTTTTCTGAATTTATACAAACATTATTTCATTTTATAGTAAATTTGTTTTGGCTCATTTATGTTTGTGAACAGAGACCTACAGATGCAATACAGTAAAGGAAAACTCATTTGTGAACCTGTGTTTAAAGCAAGTTTTACTTAAAATAGTAACTAAGTTGCAGTAAGTGAATTAATGTTTTAGTACTTTTACTTCCAATACTTAAGTACATTTGAAGACAAATACTTTTGTACTTTTACTCAAGTGGAGGTCTAAAGGGAGGACTTCTACTTTTACTGGAGTAATATTTAACCTTGAGCATCTCTAACTCAAGTACATGATTTGTATACTTCGTCTGACTGATCTACTTTGATGTAATGCAAAAAACCCCCCAAAAAATATTAATATAATCCTCACATAGAATAAGTGCATTCATCATGTGTTAGAATGATGTATTAAATTTCATGTTCTAATGTTTGTGTGTTTTGTCTTTTAATGTAGCCATCAGGCTGGTTGGTTCTGGGGGAGACTGTGCAGGAAGGCTGGAGGTTTTCCACAGCGGCTCATGGGGGACAGTGTGTGATGACTTGTGGGATATTGAGGATGCTCAGGTGGTCTGCAGACAGCTGCAGTGTGGAGTGGCCCTCAGTGCTCCGGTACCAGCCTGGTTTGGACCTGGAACTGGACCCATATGGCTGAATGAGGTGGAGTGTGAGGGGAACGAGACGTCCCTGTGGAACTGCAGATTTCAGCAGTGTGGAGAGGATGAATGTGGACACAAGGAGGATGTAGGAGTCGTGTGCTCAGGTAAAGTGCTACTGTAACCATTGCTAATGAATATTTTATTCTTTTGTTTGCCTTTGATCTTCTTCTGAAATGTATACTAATTGCATTAGCATTGTTTGAACTTGCATCATAAAGCAGTGAATTTAAAACTATGGAGCTTCTTGCTATACAATGCTGGGCAAACCTCACCTGCAAGCCACTGACCCTCCTGTTGATGCTGCTGCTGCACAGACTCAAACTAGCCATTGCTTAACCTGCTTTTCCCTTTTTCTGTATTTTAATGTTTTTCTAATTTTAAAGCCTTATCTTCTGTTCATATTGCTCTTTTGTTATTGTTTGCTATCCAGTGTCGACCAGAGGATGATGGGTTCTCCTTTTCAGTCTTGGTTCCTCTTAAGGTTTCTTCCTCTTACTTTTAGGGAGTTTTTCTTGCCACGCTCATGGGGTCTTGGACCCGGATTTTTTTGTAAAGCTTATTTGTGACAATGGCTGTTGTAAAAAGCAATATAAATAAACTTTGACTTGACTTTAAAATCCAATTTGAGCAGTCAAACCTTCCAGACAGAGGCACAAATGTTAAAATCTGCTTGAAATTGCATTTCAGACTATCTGGATATGCCAAAATTGAATTTGGGCTGGCAGTCTGAACGAGGCTCTTTCAAGTGTAGATGGTGTACGTGTACTGCATTATACAATTAAAAGATTAACATTTATAAATTTACAGACATCAATAAATAGATTGTATTGTGGCATTGTCAGAAGAAGACACACTGGGGTGACTGTAATACTGCTGCAATAAATACTTTTTATTAAACACACTAGCAGCAAAGGGCACATACAGAGCATTAAAACCATAGGGCAGGTCACCTTTAGCCACATGCCAACACAAAACTCACAGCCCCTGACACTAAATAACACAATACAAACGTACACATAACTTAAACTAACATCTACTAACAACACCAAAAACATAACAATTACCTTTGTTGGAGGGCACACGCTACCATGAGCCTTTGTGTGTGGCCATCTGCCTAGCCACACCCCCAGAGTCTCTCGGTGCCAGCACCAGCCAGTGGAAGGACGCTACAATATATTAGTGTGAAATGTAATAAAAAACAGAACAGCAACTGTTAGTCAGGTGCCTGAGAATGTCAAAAAGGATGTGATCAGACTGTGAACAGTCCATCCACAACAGAGGTTGGTTTGACGTGCATAAACCTCAGGAATGTTCCATTCCTCTAGTACACTTCTAGAGAGCTGCAAAATCTGTGCTATGGAACACTAAACCTTTTCTGGTGGCTTGTGGAGGTCCAATAACTTGTTTTTTTCTTTAATTGACCATCTGTATTTTGCAGAATGTCCACCACTAAACTTAAATTTTCTTTCTCCCATCAGAGTTTAAAGAGATCAGACTCACTGAGGGCTGTGAGGGGAATCTGGAAGTGTTCTACAATGGAACCTGGGGTAATGTGTGTGTTAATGGGATGGATGAAGAAACAGTAAGTTTGATCTGTCAGGAGCTGAACTGTGGAAAGTCTGGCAGTGAGAAACCTACTGAAGCAAGAGTGGAATCAGCTCCTAACTGGCTGGATAATCTGAAATGTAGAAAATATGACTCCACTCTGTGGCATTGTCCATCTTCACCCTGGGGACAAAACACCTGTAATAATCACAACGAGGTGGCTCACATTACCTGCTCAGGTAAACAGTCTTTCTACAATTAATAATGCTTTTATACATTGCCATGAACAGAAATGTTGAGATTGAACGTGAGGCTACAAGACTAAATGCCCAGAGAGATCAGTCTGTAAGTTAAATTATTCAGTGACTACACTACTATATTTTCTTACTACAGACAGGGGAAGCTCACCACCTGCTCATCCAACATGCTTTTTATCTCCACACCAGCAGCAGTGCTCAAGTAAGTACCAAACACTTCAATAAACTAATGTACAGTAAATCTTTTTTTTTTTTAGACAAAAATGCAATGTCATTTTCAATTAATATCCATTCTGTATGATTGTTAAACTTATTGAAAATATTCTAGTAAAGCCAACCAGGGCTTTTTATGGGAAATGTTAAATTTTACTGACAGTAAAGGCTTGCAAATAATAAAATCAAATCAAAGGCTAATGAAACTTGTTGAATTCTATCTTAGCATATCGTCACTGTCCAAAGAAAACCATCTCTGTCGATTTTTATTTTTCTACATTATTTCAACACACCAGATGTGCTTTACATTGTGTGAAAATTTCATGATGAAGGGACCAATAGAATTGCTCTAAAATCACTTCGTTTTACATTAATGTACATTGAAAGGTAAGTGTGTTTTTACCATCTCTTTTAAAGTTACTATTTTGGAGATATTTTTTTTTCTTTGGACAGCAACAGTATGCATCATTTATAACCACTGGACCTGCACAAATAAAACTGAGCACATCATTTTGAAAGTAAAAGATTTCTATGTGAAACCTAATTTTACGAGTGCCCTTGTGTGTTTGATGTGTGTGATGTAGATCACCTGCCTCTCAGGCTGAGTGGAACTGAGGGAAGCTGTTCTGGGAGGCTGGAGGTGTATCATAACACTGAGTGGGGGTCTGTCTGTGATGATCTCTGGGACATAAGGGATTCTCAGGTGGTCTGCAGGCAGCTGGGCCAGCACTGAGTGCTGATGGGAGTCCTGTCTTTGGTGCTGGTGAAGGGCCTATCTGGCTGAACAGAGTGAAGTGTAGAGGGAATGAGATTCACCTGTGGGACTGTCCTCATTCCCTGAAGAACCACACTGACTGCTCCCACAGGCAGGACGCTGGAGTCACCTGTTCAGGTATGCTGAATTTTTTAGTTTTTTGAGTCTCCATTTAAATCATGTTTATCTGCAAACTCATTTGAGCAGTCAATGAGTATGTATCTTGTGGTTGTCTTTTGTTTCTGTATTTACAGAAAAATATGAACCTCCTACTATTACACTCAGAACAGCTGACACACCCATCGCTGGTACTCTGTTATCTTTCAAAAATATTTCTGAATAGATTGTTGAGTGCATTACACAGTATCTTTATTTGTTTGTGTTTTCAATTTAAATGCATCATACAGCAAAGAGAACAATCACTCCTCCACCGGCTGTTCCGTCCATCTATCCAGTGTCTCTCCTAGTTCTGGGAATGGTGCTCTTCCTGGCCTTAGTGCTTCTGGTTGTGCTGTTTTACCAGAACAGAGTGCTCAGTAAAGGTAGAGAGATTCAGAGATCATCTACAATCCACTTTCTGTACATTCTCTAAACATCATTAGTCCTTCAATCTGTCATCAGTCTTCTCTTCTACTGAACTGGCTTAATGTTTCTCTTTGTCTCCTTCACAGGGCTCTCTAAGAGGATGGAGAACATAGTCTATGAAGGCCTTAGAAGAGGGCTTGAGGGAGTCTATGAAGGCTTGAGTAGGGGCACTGAGAGAGTCTATGAGGAGATTTACTGCAGATTCAATACTGCAAGAGACACTCAAAGGGGTGAGAGGCATAATACTTACTGTGGTGTATTTATATTTATAATAAGATTATTTATACTTATAATAAGATTGTGTTCAGTTGAACAATGACAGAAATGTATGTGCATTCTTGTGTTTGTGCATGTGTGTGTGTCTGTTTGTGTGTGTGCATGTGTGGAAATAGTACACAAGGGGTGGGTGTGTAGGCCATTGTTGTGGGATTATCAATGCAATCCTCTGTTGTCTGTACTCCTCTCTTGCTTCTGTCATTCTTTGCTCGTTTTCCCCATTACACTTACAACTATTTTGCATTTCTCTGAGGTTTTGTATTGTTCTTCTAAGTTTATCTATGCTGTGTTCTCCCTGTTTATACAATTCATAGAGTCTCATCAATTGCTATTTTTGATCATGATTGTAATATTTCATTGCATGTAATGTAATAAAAGTAAAATAAAGGTTATATTTTTAGTTTCAAGGAACACACAAATTGAAAGCGGGTACTTTTTTAGAGTTACAGTTCCATACAATTTACAATTAGACTTATAATGAAGATTAAGAACTTCCATGCAAATGAACACAGATGCACCTTCAAATTTAACATATGACCATCTCAATATAACCACATTATTCATGTCCTTTTTTGTATAAATCTGTTTTTGTGAGGTAGTAATCTGAATCTGGTTCAACTTGTGACTCAAGAGGTAAAAATAATTATGTATGTATTTCCATGTAATAATTCACTTAATAATATACAAGGAATAAGTCTCCCCAAAAGATTCTGAAGAGATCCAACAGCTGTCAAGCAACCATCAAGACCTTGTGCTTGACTACGGCCACAGGTCGGCTAAAGTGATCACCACCAGGGAGCTCTTTCCCCTGGAGGGCAGAACAACAAGACTTTATGTGCCCTAGTTTCGTAAAAGCAGTGACAACCATCATTTGACCAGTGCCTCTCCAAAACAAACGTTTAAAAAACAAAAACATTTTGAGGGCGTGAGCATGTTGACTTGTTGACATCGTAGCCTGAGCCTGGAACCTTTCAGCCTTTCTGAGCAGGAAATCTCAGTTGAGCAGCATAAGTTAGCTTTGATAGCTACCTACAATTAAGAAACAAATTTTCAAAAAACATTTGCTAGCTAGCTAATTACATCCACAAATGACCAAATAAAGCAGTTATGGTTAGTTAACTAGCTAAGTACTTCCACAAAATGCACAGCAGCCATGGTTAGCTGGCTAGATAGGTATGTCCACAAAATGACCAAATACAGCAGCTATATGAGCTAGCTAACTATGTTAGTATCTACATAGGTTATGTTAGCTACATATAGTGGCTTCATGTAGAAGATGAGTCAGGTGAGGCCATATTTTCTGGTCAAAAATGCTCTTTTTTTAGAGCAAGGCAAAAATGCCACTTGAAAAGCAACCGAAAAGAGAGGCAGGCCACTCCTAGCCTTATTCTTTCTCCCAGCAGTTATGAAACACAAACTCACTCTAACTAACTCCAAGCATGGCACAAAATAACGTAGTAAACATATATACTCACATTTTAACTGAAGAACAACAAAATTAACAACATTAAATAACAACATAAGCAGTCCATTTAGCGGGAGTCAGGGCTATGGCCCAGACTATGCACACCATGCTAAGTCCTTCTTTCTATGAACAGAGCATATGGTAGCCCCCCCCAAATCAACACATTGCAGCTCATGCTAACACACAGACCAGGCAGTTCCCACAGTATAAAAAGGATGTTTGCAAGACTTTATGACAAAAAATATTCTTTTTCCCCAGTATAAAAATAAAAATTTAGCACTCATCCAGTACAAAACACTGAGGTTGGTTACTCAGTGATGTGCTTGAGTATATGTGATGTGCTCCACAGTAACAATAAGTATGAGCCCCACAGAAGGACAAGCCCTTACATTTAATAAAACTGAAAAAGACTGAAGTAAAACTGCAATACTATTATTCTGTTACGACAACAGTGTGGCTGACTAGTTAAGTGGTTTTCTATTGAAAAGCTAACCTGTGAGCATTCACTTTTTATCAGAGCTTTTTTTAATGGTTAAATAATATTACTGTATTCAAAAATACAGTATAGTATTGATACTGTATTTAGATCTACAGTAAAGTATTAATGCTGTAATATATGAAATAATTGTCAAAATACATTTACAATCTACAGAAACATAGCCTACTGTACAATGATGCTGCAGTACAACACTGGTTAGAATACAGTAATAATGTTCTGGAAACAACAAAATCATTTAACCATTTGTTAAATTGAATGTTTGATTCATTAAGATGAACAATTTGCAAGAACTTGTTCATTAAAATTAATGAAAAATCCCATCACAAGTGCCTAGTTTCCGTGTCTGAGAGTGCCATGAACTGTCTGCACTGATATTATTTCCTGTATCAGCCCAGTTCTCAGCTACTACAATTACATTACAGTGGTTTGGTGTTACTCTAAGACTGCTAGTTCCATTAAAAGATGATCAGGTAAACAGCAAGGTTCGAGTCTCCAATTATGATCCCACTAAGGTCTTAGTCGACCTTTTAATTGGCTGAACCATTTAAAATGTTTTCCAGACCAATACTGGACAGGTTTGTAGGGGTAGATCACTACACTCAACATCATGCAGCATTTTGTGGTTCTTCAATACCACTACATTTATTATGACAAGTAAATGACAGAGTTCTGCTCTCTAACAGGAAGTATCCCCTCTGAAGAACAGCATTCAGGATATGAGGATGTGGATGAGGAGCTTCTCTCAGGTAAGAGCATGTGTGTATTAAACTCCCTTCCACTGAAAGATATTACAGTTGCCATTTATAAATGAAATAATTCATTATAAATCCATATTTCCTAAGCTACAGTAATGATAAGTGACAAATATAGGTCACTTATAAACAAATCTTAATTGGTGAGGAACATTAACAGCACTGATGATTCCCCACAAAAAAAGAGAAATAGTCAAATACTCATTCAAATAACAGATACAATTATTTAAGGCCACATTGTCGGTTAGCCCCTAAATACATTTATTAAACCATCAATTAATCCTTTAAGCTGAGCTGGTGTGAGCTTTGAATGGCTGTAATGCTTCTGGGATTGAAAAGCATTGGCAGTAAAATTACACAGGCACACAAATCCCCACAAAATCATATGGTATTTTTATTACATTTTGTGGTGCTTCCATAGTGTTACATATGTTAGCTACACACAGCTAAAGGCCAGAGCTCTGCTCTTCTCTAACAGGAAGTATTCTGTCTGAGGAACAGCATTCAGGATATGAAGCTGTGGATGAGGAGCATCTCTCAGGTAAGAAGACCTAAAACTAAATTCTGCTGACAAATATTACAGTTGCCATTAGAAATTTAAAAATTCATCATAAATCCATGTTTTGTGCAGTAATGCCGAGATCATTTACAGTAAATTTGATGTTTTAAAACACAGCACATACGTTTAATAACTATAATCTCTATCCAGGTTGCTTTATATGATTTTCTTGTACCTTTTGCTGCTCTTTACTGTTTCAGATTCTCATTAACTGTTCTCAACTTCTTTTTTTTATACTGAGTCTCTAGATCAGATGTGTCTGTCAGATTTCTTGTATAATCTTATTGGTGCCACACACTGCTCACAAAAGACTGAATTTTAGAATTCTGATACCATTACATTTAAATCTTTCTGAATGAGCATTTTATTTTTAAATGTAATTAAATGTGATCAATTTTGCTCTTTTTCAGCAAAGTCTTTGACTGGAGTGAAATCAGAACATTATGATGATGTCACCACCAGTGGTCTGATAAGTGGGTTCCTTTATTAATTAATCATCTGATTTTATCTTTATATTAAACCACAATGTAAAAATATGACTGCACTCTTTGTAAAGTCAGTCTGCTTTCATTTGATTTAGGTGACTCGGAAAAAGAGAACACAGCAGAGAGCTATGATGATGTCATCACTGCTGGACAGATCTCTGATAGTGTCATAGGTGTGTTTCTGTTTTGGGGTTTTAGTTCAAAGTACAAATGAAAAAGTTTGTAAAAGTTTGCAAAATTAAAAATCATAACAATATAATAATAAATGCTGTGAAGACAGAATAGTAAAAAAAGAATGTGAGTCTATTCAACCTAAGTAGATTGTATACTTTAACTCCTCCACCCATGGCACGTCCTT